TACCAATAAGTTAAAGCTGCGAGTAGCTTTTATGAATTATGATTTTTTTTCTTTTTCTTTTTACATATTTGCTAAAATGATCAAGTTGTGACAAATAATTGTTGAAAAAATAAAATTTCCTGTAACGACAGAAATACACCAGTACCAACCAGTTGCAGCCAGGAGGACGGTCTTAGCGCTGTCAATCATCCTCACCCTGTCCATCATAGCTAGCATGCCAAAAATGCTAAGACTAGTTAGCATAGCCATGATGACAGCGGATAATCGTTTTTTCCTGAACAGAATATAATTTCTCCACCATTAGTGTGATGGATTGAAATGTTCATTTACATTCACTGTAAGTTTGTGGTACATTTACTATTTTTTGTCTTATCTCCATATTGTATGTTTACAGACTTTAATGTTATTGTTTACATTTGCAGTGTTTTCCGGCTGTTTGGGTGAATTATTTTCCAGTTTTGATTTGGTTGATGTAGTTACAGGATGCAACCAGCAGGGGGAATCGAGCGCTGGCGCCGGAACTTCCTCTTCAGATACAATCTGGAGAAGAAGGTACGTCTCTATTATTCTTTAACTGAAATATTCCCTTTCTTCAGGTACAAGTGTTTATACAAACACACCTGTACCGCAGTAAGTTACTTTATTAACTGTTGGAAAGCTTTTGGTTTCTTTTATTGAACAATTCCCCTTCTTCAGAGCTTTTACATTGGCACATTTAGCAGCAACTACATTAAATGATTGATAGCCACAGCCATTTCTCCGCCTCTGGTTGGTTGTTTTTGACCGGGAGCGGTAAATTTGTTCAGACTGCAATAGTAGCTCAGGGAGGAATGAGAGACAATGGATCTTTTCACAGATTATCTGTCTAATATTAATCTGACTTGACATAGTGACAATTTTGACATCAGTCATTTGAAAACTGCACTTTGTAATGAATTAACAAATGCGAAAATTGTTTCTGTAAAGATTAGTTGCCTACTTAATCTTGAGATTTGAGATTTTATTCCACCTTTCTCCCTTGCTGCATGTAAATGTGCCCTTGAGCAACACTTAGCGTCAAGACATCTACTGATTTGTGTATTGTTGCATAAAATGGTTTCAAGTGGTGATTATGGGGAGAAAGTTTATTTTTTCATAATGCAAAATATGCTTTGAAAGGTTTCGCTACAATCAGCAGCTGTGGACGTTTTAAAGCAGCTCCCTCTGACTCAGACTCTGAAAATGACATTAAAATGGCTCCAAAAATAACATTTAGATAAATTATTTTTAAGAAGCAAGTTAGAACTTTTTCTGCATCCTTTTTCTTCAACTTTAGGATAATTCAGCTTAGAGCTGATGGATTGCAACACATTTTAACATTGTTTTTCAGCACATACACCTTATAATTCAGTTTATTTGCTGCCACCTCTTAGCAGTTTTCTCCCGGGTTTGAATTAAATTAGGCCCAAACTTTGTTAAACAGGCCCGAGTTTCTTGGTTTTACAGGCTGGCAGATAGTGGAGCTTTTATTTCCCCAAAATAGGTCAACAGTTTCATAATGAGACGTGTGAATTGCTAAGACAGTCCCAGGATAATACGAAGTCCCAAAGCTTCACAAACAATTCCCTCACATAGTAACACAGCGAACAATGAGCTGCAGCAGCAGAGCTTTGCTTGAATGCAGCCTGCTGCCATGAGGCTGATAAAAATAACTGGGAACAAAACATGCAATGAAACAGTTGAAGTTACGGTAAAGGCAAGTTGGTAATTCTAGATCCCATCACCGTCCAGTTGTGTCTGATCAATTCTGAAGAGCAATAATCCATAAAAGCAATTCTTTCTTGTACTTTTGTTCAATGTAACAACAAACTGAAGGCAAAAATGATATAGATGTAGAGCCCAAAATGTCATGTTCTGATTTAAAAATTGCACATTTTGTTTCAAGCAAAGTAAAATGTAGAGTTTGTAACTGTTGGACACGGCGGTGGCAGTGCCATGGTTTTTAATACATTCTCATTTTTGAGAAAAATATATAGTTTATGTTGCTTTAGCAAAGGGTTTATAGCCATATGAACAGAAATTTTGCAGAAAACAATGCAACAAGAATATCTACCAAGGCAAAGTTTAATTTAATTAACTAAATGCAGGATAAACATTGATTGACGAGCTTTAATGTTTCCCAATATTCAAATATTCTGCTTAGATTTCCATAACTGTGTCTTGACTTTCAGAAAAACTAATATTCCCCGTTCGATACTAATAAAACAGAAATTGAAAACAACAGAAAATGTTTTCAAAGTTAAAAACCCTGACCTGCCAAGCTCGGTGGCGGCAGCATTATGCTATTGGCTTTTGCAGTTTTGCTAATGATCCTGATGGATCATTCAAAGTTTATGGCTTAGTGATGGAAGAGGAAAGGCTCTAAGTTGTTTAACTTTACCTCAGATGAAACCTCAAACCTTCATTCCGGTTATTGATTTAGACAGAAACCAAACCAGAGACTCTTTGCCAGTGCATGTTGTCCACCATAATTTGATCTTCTATTAAATCTCCAATCATTTCCTTACTTATTTCTCCACCCTTTAGCAGAGAATTCATACATTTCCGCTTCTACAAGTTAAATATTAGAAGATCTTCCACAAACATGGCATTATTGGTACATTTGGATCCTCAAAAACGTTATCTTCCCTCTTCCAGACAGTTATGATCTAATTTTGTTATTTTCTAGAGGAACACAGCAGGTTTTGGATCCGAGCTCTGCAGTGTGGACATCTGGGGAGTTGCGCTGTGCAGGCTAAACACAGATTCAGCAGCTGACGGACAGACGAGTGTTTGGCCTGAATGTCAGGACTGAATTTAGCTCAGACATGATGGCATCCCGACCAACAAACAAACCTCTCAAAGCAGACGCTTCATGCTTTGTTTAATCCTTCAGTTTGGCAGCAGCAGTGATGGATAACCTGTGTACATCAGAGTTTATTTGTTCCGGAAATTCCCTGGAAATTCGATGCATTTCAGACGGGAAACACTTGGAAAATACAACTCTTTGTTTGAAATAGAGCCATGTCCAATTGTGGTAAAGTTAAACAGCGTTTTATACTGGTAACATTTACAAACATGTATAGAACATGGTGAAATCACACATGAAACTCTGAATACAAGTAAATCTGTCTAAAAAACACAGTTATAGACAGAAACAGGAAAAAGGAGGAGGAGCTGTCAGTTATAGATTTCTATGAAAACTGAGTGTCTAAAGCCATACATTTATTTTTGGCTAAAATAAAGACCTACCTGTTTAGAATTGCTTTTGAACCAAAATAATTGTAACACTGACCAACATATTTGATGTATATTGATGATTTTTAACGACAAAATGCAATGTTTATTGGTTTTCACAACTGTTTACTGTATAATGTGTTTATGATGTATTTTTTTTGTTTGTTTGAACTGCCTGAATGTGGTATAGCAGGTAAAGCTAATTTTATCTATAAAGCAGATTTTCATCGACAAGACAATACAAAGTGCTGTACAGGATTTAAAAGGAAATACAAACAAAATAACAAACCAAAAGAAAGAGCAAAAGCAGAAAAAGCTAATAATGTTGATCCAAAGTAAATAAACACTCCTATTCAGGGTTGATAGATAAGTATAAGTATTCTCTGAACTTCCCAAATGTGCTCAAAAAAAGTAACAAGTTTCTAAGTAATAACAAAAACTAAAGCAAACCTGATTGATTAATTGATAGACAGAAAGTCTGAAAAGAAAAGAATAAATTGTGGTCCAGTGAACATATGGATGTCAACCTGAATGAAATATCATTTTAGAGGAACAAAGTTATTCGCATTTCTTTTCCAACTATGAAATGTACAAAGATGCAAATATAAAAAAAAAAGTTCTAGTAGGGGTTACAGATCCATGTCAACAGGAATGACTGAGAGGAAAATCTCTTTAGGTCAGTGGTGATTTAGTGACCCTGATGCTTAAAAAAACCTCCAGCGCCTGCCAGATGCGGCTGATGGCTGCAACATGTTGTGGGACTTGTATGGTGGAGGACGAGAGATGTTAACATGATGCCAGAGATAATGACATGCAGACTCAACAGATTTCTCTCTGTGAGTCTTTTCAGAGGCAGATACTGACAGCAGGCATGTGGTGGTGGGAGTACTCTCACTCTCTGCCCTATTTTCTGACTGATGAAGCAGCACAAAACCAAGAGAGAGATCACTCCACACTGCTGGATGGATGGATGGCAATGATGCATGTAAAGCTGGGTGGATGTTGTATTTAGAAATAAAAACTGAACACGCTTTTTGACGCGCTGCTCTCAGCTTGAAACACTTGTCATGCCACAAGGAATAAAGTAGCAAACTTTCGGTCTGTTTACGTTTCAAATTAAAAGCTTTAATTTGCTGACTGTCGAACTCGATAGCCAGGTTATAAATTCTGAGAACATCTCGGAAGTCTAAATACCTAGATCAGAATCTTGACATTATAAAACACAAAAAAAATAAGTGAAATGTTCGAACAAAATAGTGTGGAGAACCCTTGATTACAAGAAGAAACCCTTTAGAAAAAAATGAAAACAATAAAATTAATTTACAAATAGATTAAGAAACAATATTTGTAAATAAATACATAAATACAGTATAGATTATAATAGTTTGACTTTGGAGTAGTTATCTGTACTCCAGTTGTGTAAATTTATGTTGCAGATTTATAATATTGTAGATAATTTTTGTATTTTTGTCTGCTAGTGATTTTGTAATTAGACTGGTGTTCAAGCCTTTATTTCTATTAAGTGGGATTATTTTTCTCTCAATATTTAAAATTGGAATTTTACATCCAACAAATAAAATGACTTTTATAGAGATATTTTTTATTAACACAATAAATAAATGAAAAATTTGCGATTGTTCAAAATTATATAGAAACAGTACATTTAAAAAAAAACAACTAAAAATTCTTCAGCTGGTTTTTATTTTGTGACGATTGGGTCTTATTTTGAAAGGGCTTTACTCCTTTTCCGGTCCGAACGTAGCAGCTTGACGTACGGGGCTCGCTCGCCAGTTGGTCCAGGGGCTCGTGAGTGCAGCTCTTTCCGCCGTCCTGCCGCATATATAGGCGGTCAACGGTCGGAGACCTCCGCGTTAAGGCAGCTCCAAAGGAGAACGTCAGGCTGTTTTATTCCCGCAGACATTTCAGTTCCCGCTTCCTTCTTACCACCGTGTCCCGTCACAGACTGGGGAGAAAAGAGGGGGGTCCATCTCGGAGTGACCAGCATGGACCCCCAAGCGAAGAGCCGCGCTGGTCCGGCGGCGATGGCGGCGGGAGGGAGCTTCGGCGGCCGCCCGGCCTCTCTCGGAGCCGACGGGGGTGACTCAGAGTCCGGAGCGGGCTCCGAGGAGGCTGCCATGGGCTGCAGCGACACATTCAGCAGTCTGCCGGACATGGAGCAGGAGTCTCTGGAGGAGAAATTACGCGGACTGGCGTTCAGAAAGCAGACCTCGTATCGGTGAGTGGAGATCAGAGGGAGGATGCTGTGGCAGGATGTCGCTCAGAGCAGGATGTGTTTCGGGATTTATGCGTTTTTCCTGGATCTAAATACATTTCTTTTATGTACTTGCAAGCAAGAAACTCAAAGTGAAGCCTATAAATAGTAAAAGAACATAAAAGATGAGGCTGTATTGTTGGTTGTGAAGCAGATTTCTGACATGGGAATGAATGCTCTGGCTCGTTCAGACAAGCCGCGCTACGCTGCTGCTGTCACAACGTAAATCCATGCAGAGCACGAACATTTGAGCCCAAATCAAAACATTTCTGCATGCACACAGTCGCAGTACGTGTGCGGATGCGTGTGCATGTCACGGTGGTGTAGTCCTGTTTTTGTAGCGCCCTGTGAAGGGGGAGGGAGAGATCCTGTATTGATTCGTGAGCAATGTGTGTTTGTGTTTATGTGAATGCCAGCAGCAGCCTGACACCCCAGTGTGACTGACAGCTGCTGCTGATAGCACACAATCACATATCTCCATAACTGTATCTAATCTGAAAGAATCGGTTCCAAAAGTGGGATTTAGAGGTCAAATCTGGGGGAAAGAACTCCAGTATTCCTGCATATTTATGTTTATTATTTCTGCATGTCACAAGGAGCCATCTTCCTTCTAAGTATTCATCACATTTTTATTTCCTTATTTGTGGATAAAAGCGTCAGACAAAAACGAAAACATAAACATATAATTCATAAAATGCATTAAAGTCAAGAACTCCAACTGTTTACAGTCATAAAAGCATCAACATGTACTTTAAAGCACTTATGTTAGGAACATTTGCTTTCGAGATCATTTTGTATTTTATTTCCAGATGGATTCAAAACTGCCACCTCTATCAAAGCACCTATGAAGCATTTTTTCTCTTTGATGTTTTTCAATTCTTAGGGTAAAACGTTGCATCCATGTTTTTCTTATTCGTAAGCACAGAAAACTTCAATAATTTGAGTTGTTTTCCTCTGAATAAGTGATATTTTATTGAAAATGGAGACCCCACATCAAGAATCTGCTGTAATTTCAGCCCTAATTGATCATTTAGTCTCTTGTTTGTTTCCGGTTAAACAGCTTCTTAAATCATAGAAACAACCTAAATCTGGATCAAGTAACTACAAAAATTAAAAGGTTTTGAATTAATTGAATGAACACCAGAACATAGTGTTTTTTTTAATGCTTGATATAATTGGACTAATTTCGTTTGTGAAAGGGTTTTGGTTTTTAATGAAGATATTTACTAGACGATAATTTGTGTTATGTGTTTTTTATTTTTCTGGGAGTATTTGTTGTTTTTTATTTGGTGGATTTACTATAATTCAGACGTTTTAGCCAGCAGATGTATTTTTAATATTGTATTAAAAAAAAGTCAGATTAAATGAGCAGTTGTCCAAATAATCATTAGTTTCAGCCCTATTGCCGATGCATCATGTACGTCTAGTTAAAATGTGATCATTTTTGCCCTCATCTTGTTCTCTGTTTCCTATCACAACATCCATTGTGTGTAGTTAGTCTACAGCGAGAGTGTTTTCCCTTGCTGGATTAATTTCATTTGGAAAGAGGAACATTTGGCTCGTGTCGCAGCAGAGACGGTTTGTTACCACTGACTATTCTGCTGAAAGAGGAATGTGGAAATAACTGCTCAGATGGTTAGAGAAGCTACCACGTTTTTTTCTTCTTTTGATAATATTTCACAGTTTAACTTTGTTGGATTTTGTATTTTTAGCCCTCAACTGTAAATATCTATGAATGTGTGACGAAATAGAAGCAGATGAGTGCATGTTTGTGTTGCTGCTGTTGGATCTTGAATTGTAGCGGCATTATTTTTGGTTCAGGTGATCTGTGAACCCCCTACCTCCCTCCTCACTGAGGAGGAAGCAGTCAGCCGGTCAGAGGAGGGAGGTAGTTTACATAGCTTTGAAGTGGCCAATGCCAAGAAGTGAATCACCATATGTGGCTATATGAGGGAGAGAGAGAAAGCTGATCAAAGTCGGGGTCTGGGTGAGTTTTTCTGCCGTATTGTCTGCTAGCAGCAGCGTGAGGCACGTGAAACTTATCTGCCAGGACTTGGTCACACTTTATGTGTGTGTGTGTGTTTTTCCTTTTATCTATTCTTAGACGTCTCACCCATCTGGCTGCATGGTAACCCTCACTGGCTGAGGAACACTCTACCTTTATCTGTCTGAGGCAGTCGGCACAGCAATATGGCAACCTAACCCTAACCTACAGGTTCTGGAGAAATCTGGAAGTTCAAACGTTTGTTATGGATTAATCAGAAAAACAAGAGAAATACTGGGATTTCACATCCATCCATCCGTTCATCTGTCTGTCCATCATCTGTCTGTCATCCATCCATCCATGTCTCCTGCAATCTACCAACAAATGAGGCCGACAAAATGATAAACTTTTTAAAATAAGGACTTCCTTTCACTTCTGAAATATTTCTTCATAAGAAAAATTGTTTAAACGGCCTTGGGTAAAGATCTGACCTCTTTGCCAAAGGGTTAATTCTGTAAAAGTGTGTAATTTGGACATGAGGAATATTTATGAACCTTGACCAATGAATCTGTAGGAAATTGCTCTAATTAACTGGTCAATCAGCCTACTGGACCCACAGTTGGTAATTGAACTTCCTGTCTACGTGTGACAGCCAGTCATCTCTGTTGTTCATTTAATCTCATAACAAATGATAAACATCTCAAGTTCTCACAGCTCAGAAACACAACGAGCCTCCTGTTGTGTTTCTGAGCTGCAAAACAAAACCAACAGTGAAGTAACAGTAAAACACACCTCTGTCCAAAACTAAATGCTTTTATGTACACAGTACTAGAAAATGTTAGTCATAGCTGATTGATGTCTAGATTTAAATTAATGCATGAAATATTCAGCGCAGCTAAGAGCTGCACTTCACATGAGATTACTCCTGGAAAATATGGAATATATTACATTTTTAAAGTAAAATTGAAGAGAATAAGCCTTTATTTGTCTGTAGGTTGGTAAACTAAAAGACCAAATATAGGAGAAAACAACAGAAAAGTAAAAGTGTCTGAAAAAGAATAATATACTCACAAAATATTCTTATATTTCGCTAAGAGAAATGCTAGTTTTTATCTACTACATGCACACTTTATAATAGAAAAAAATATATATTTTGCTTCGACACCCGACTTCTCGTGTGGTCAAACTTTACTACAGCCTGTTGCAGAAACGAGCTTCCACCCGATAGGAATTCGCAACGTTTTCCTTCCACTATTTACAGCCCACTTTGCAAACAACAGATGTGTCCACGTGCCGGCGTTTACTGCAGTTTCATCATGTAATCTAACAGACCGTGAGACAGCGTTCAGCATGCAAAGAGAGAAACACGGAAAAGACAAGAGAAGAGAAGAAACGGTAAAGAGACGTGAATGTATCTGGTATGGCTGCTGCTGCTGTGCACCACCTGCAGGGGTAAACAGTGATCAAAGCACTTTCATCATCTGATGCTGGCAGAATATAAAACTGTATTCAGCTTTCAATTAGGCCAGAGCACTGAGGACACTGGGAGAACAGAGAGATGAAAAAGACGCCCAGGGAGGATGAGAAGAGGAAAAAAGGCTGAAGGCTTGATTCAGAGTCAAAGGAGAGTCATTACTCAAGAAATATAAAAGAGTGAAATGGGTAATAGTGAAACATTATATCGCAATTGCTTTATTACTCTTGCATAAGGTGAGCATTTACAAGTCAACCTGCTGAAAGAGTGAAGAAAGATTGATGAGTGGTATAAGAACATTAAAAATCTTATTCAGAGCCGTCGGAGTTGCAGTTTGATATGCGGCGAAGCTTGTGGCCGATTCTATAACATGCTTACCTTTGAGCTCTTGGAGGCTTTCATGAATTTTTAAACTTTATAATCTGCAGCTGGTTTTGTACGAACAATGAGACAGCCTGAAGGAAAGAGAGATTTCAGATTGAGAAACCGACGTAATGTCTCTCTATTTACAGTAATTGTGTAACAGCAGCACACCACAGTGCAGCACAATGGCCCCAGCTTTCCCCTGGGAAATTATATCTGAAAGGGCAAAATGAAGAGAAATACCTGGTGCACACAATAGGGTGTGCAACACAGTTCAAAACAGACACAAGTAACAGCAAAATAACATGTTATTGCACTATATTTGTTTGGCATGACACAAATATGCAAAGGTACTCTGATCCAAAGTCACGCTGGATGAATTGGTTCCCAAACCTACATCTCCACTCCTTAACGTTTGCCTTTTATTGTTATTTCAGTGCTGTTCTCTGAACATTACATGTGGCTTTTGTTCGACGATGATCAAAGTTTAAATAACATTCCTCAGAGTCCTTATGACTAAACATCTATCAGTGCACCAGAGCTGCACTGTGTATTGAATTGCAGTAGTCATCACATAATGAGTTCATGCAATTTTGCAGTTTCAAACGACTGCTTTGGTGGCTATAATATTTCAGCTGCTTGCAAATAATACATTTAGTCATGTGGATGGATTTGCAATGTGGCAAATGCACTCTGTGGATCTTAGTGAACAATATAGAGCGAAGGCAGAACATCGAGTAAGAGTGAGAAAAACATGGGTTAAGTAATTCATATCATGATTGTCATACCAAGCAGTAAGATAACAGCATTTTCCTACCACCCTGCTACTCTACTGCATAAAGTTAGACTTGCAAACACACAAATATTGATCTAACGTATCGATATCTCTCCTATTGAAGAGTTGGCAAACTGTTAAATGTTTACTTTGCATAAAATAATCAGGTTTATAATCTTACTTTTTCCTAACTGACCGGAACATTCAAAGACGCATAAAGACAGTTACGAAGTCAGCCTTTTAGCATCTGAAGAATATTTTCAGGATTGAAGGGCTAATGTTGACAGCAAAATCTAGAGAAACTCATACATTTGTTGATATTTAGTCAAACTGATTAATGCAACAATGTTTTCACAGGTCTGGATTAA